TAGAACTCAATTTAGGCAAAACAGTCATAATAGTTACCAAAGTAATGGCGGGTCAAGTAGTAATAGAGGTATAAAGAATGGTAAAGGTAGATCTAGATCCAAATTTAGGACCAAGTTTAAGAAATGCTATGGTTGTGGAAATTCATGACATTTTATAAATGATTATTATAAAGAGAAAAGTAAGCAAAAAGGTAAAGAGAGAGATGAAGTAAATGTATTGTCTTCTATTTCCGATAGTGGTGATAGTGAGGTTTATATGATTACAAGTCATATTACTTATCCTGCTGAATTGAATTGAATTGAATTGCCAATTCCCATTTGCATTAATGAATACTTGATTCTGGTGCATCTTTTCATGTGATATCACAAAATGATTGGTTTAAAATTTTGCATGAATCAAATGATGGACATGTTGTGCGGTGTGACAATTCTACTTATACTGTTATTCGAATTGGTGATATTACCTTAAAGTTTGACGTTGATTTTGTGTATACTTTAAAAAAATGTTAGATACATCCCTAAATTGTCTAGAAATTTAATTTCAGTATAAAGACTTGAAAAATCTGATTTCACTGGTAAAATTCGAAATGAAATTTTAAAATTGGTTATGTGTGCACTTGTCTCTATTAAGAGATTCAGGAAAATTGATATTTATATCACTATTCGGGAAGTAATGAGAGATTTAAATTCGTCTATCTCTTCTGCTAAGGCCGATCACACACATAAATAGTACAAGAGACTAGCACATGTGGATATTAAGGGAATTAGACTTCTTAATGAAAAATGTACATTTGGAAATGACCGTGCGTCTGATTTATCTTTATGTGACCATTGTATGCTTGGTAAACATCATAGAACTATTTGTTTCACGAGTATTCATAAAACTAAAGGCATGCTTGAATATGTGCATTCAGAGTAATGAGATCCCTCTAGTAGTCCTACCTCAGGTTAAAATAGGTACTTTTTATCTATCATTGATGATTACACTAAAAAAGTGTGGGTTTATCTCTTAAATGATAAATCTAATACTTTCCATAGTTTTAATATTTGGAAAAGACAAGTTGAGAACCAAACTGGTAAAATGATCAAGTTTTTGAGAACTGATAATGACCTAAAGTTTTGTAACACTGAATTTGATAATCTGTACAAAGAAAATGGGATAACATGACATAAAACTGTTCATTACACTCCCCAACAAAATGGGGTAACAGAAATGATGAATAAAACTATACTTGATAAAATGTGTTGCATGATGTTAAGTTATGGAGTCCCAAAGTCTTTTTGGAGAAAAGTTGTTATGACTGCTTGTTATTTGATTAATTTGACTCCATTTGCTGCATTGAATGGTGATATTCTGTATGAAAAACGATCTGATAAACTAAGTTATTATTCTATACTTAGAACTTTTGGCTGTGCTGCTTTTTCTCATCGGAGTGAAGGAAAACTCGAACCTAGAGTTAGAAAATGTGTTTTTCTAGGTTACCCTGAAGGTGTTATGGTTACAGATTGTGGGCTAGGAGCCAAAAAGGGGTAAAGATCATTGTGAGTAGATATGTTACAATGAGAGCGAAATGCCGTACCTTTAAATTGAATCTGAATATGTGAGTGAAAAAGAACAAGGTGAAAAAAGAAATTAGTCGAAGGTGGACTTAGGAAAACTTAGAACATCCGTCCCCGTTACACAATTTGGGGTGGAGAATCATGATCAACAAC